TGAACAACTAATGAAGCCAGCAGAACGTAAGGTGTGTTTTTATTCAGTACTTATATTTTGTGACTTTTTGGGCAGGAATTAACAATTAAGTAAATATATAGCTAAATGTGACGTCATTAATGACGTCATATGTTGCTTTGAATGTATTCTGCAATGTAATCGAACTAATTTAACTGGAATTAGGCGGGAGGCAACTTATGAGGTATTCTGAGGTGCAAATATAAAGCAGACGGCTTAGTATCTAACTTATTTTGCAAAGTTAATACCACGATCACGTCATTTTCAATGTCATTTTTGTGACGTCATTTTGAGGCTGAAGATGGCAAAAAAACTTTTGGTAACAAGRATTTTCGTTTTCAGCACGTCAAATTACTTTAAAAAATTCCTGTTACCAACTTTTACTAAGAAATGCCTCATAACTTTCAAATTCTGTGAAAGTCGTCTAGTCTATTAAGAGCCTCAGAAAGCAGATTTCTTTTTATGATCTTGCGTGTCATTGGTAATTTAAGGCTACGTTTCAAGCAGTATTCTAAACTTCAAGCTCCAACAATTGTGCAGCGTCGGTGACATCAAATATTTACGAAGCCAAATCTGAAATTGCTGCACAACATACCCATGCATGGCGAGATCAAACAAGCCTGACACAGCGTCCACACTACGCTGCAGAAATTTCAAAACGCAGCTTATTTCTACGGTTTCGCCTACCGTCTACACTAATCCTTCACGGAAACGGAGCTTCTCGAAAACGCTGTTCAAACCGGAGGAATTTGAAAACGCCGACTTTGCGTTTTCGCGTGGACGGAAACATTTTGAAAACGTAGCTTTTTGAAAACGATYACGTCACGATAATCATGTGATTTCCCTGGCCGAGTTTTCCTCAAACACAAATCCAAAATGATCCGTGATTGGTGCGTTTTTAAATTCCTCCAGCGTAGTGTGGACGGAAAACATTTGATGCGTTTTCAGAGTGAAACCTCCGTTTTCAAATTCCTCCGGCGTAGTGTGGACCGGGCCTAACGTGCTGATAAAGCGTCCCGGAAAGGTTCGATTAGATATCTACCGTTCCCAAACATCTCGTCATCTGATATCTGCGATTTCCAATCAGTGACTTGATATCGCAGGCTAATTGCAAATTTGGGGTCATAAAAATGGAGATATTCTGTTGAAATCTAAGTCGATTTAATAAACCACGGGTACGTTACAAACAACAGCAGTTGTATGACTGATAGGAAGTTTATTGGTAAAAGGATCATACTTTATAAACTAATGTACAGGCGTTCATTATGGACCAACTGTCGGCTGACAGGGCAACGACAAATCGAATGAGTTAGGGCAACTAACTAGCATGCATTCCGGTTTTAATATGAAGTAGAGGAAGTTAAAAGTGGCTTCCTTATGCAGGTGGCAAAGCAAAAACCAAGCAACAACGCCACATACTTGTTGAATTTTCTCAGTTACTAAAATCCTGCGAATCTACCGATTTACCTAAAAATCGTGATTCGTTGCACGTTACCTACATGGAAGCCAATCTTGTTTCATGTTGATTTAAGTCTTGCAAGTTCACAATTCATAAATTTGACAAAGTTCAAAATATTCACAGAGATTATTAAGCATCTCACAGAACAGAGAATCTCAGAACATGTTTGCACCTCTGCCAACACTGGAGAAAACTCGCCAAGGCGAATTGGTTGCCACACTGACATGAACAACAGAGAAATTCTATTCTGATCACTTTTGGGTTATCATTTTGGTTTAGTTTTGTGTTGTTCCTGTGTCCTGCCCACAAACAGTTGGTCCATAATCTTATTCAATATCTTCAGGTCTGACTGGGTCTTTTAGTGGAATTACTGACTTCCTTTCTTTGTCTCGTGATAGCGCCTTCCGCATGTCTACAAACAAACAGGAAAACATCTTCAGCAAATACAGAGCACGGAGACATACAACAGCAACACCATACTGGAATAATGGAGCTTGTATTCTTGCAAAAATTAGCTAATGTAATGCTTATTAACCACCAGTAATCTTCTGTCGTATTCACTGGTCACAGGTGGTGAAGGCCTATGCATATATCTTTTATATTGTAGCTAATTAATTAGTTGTTTTAGTGTCGGTAGTACTGTGTAAATGTTTGTTGCTTTTAATATAATTTTTAATAGCTATTGTGAGTATCGTTATTTATGTGATTGGTCATGTAGCGTTCTGTGGAGCTCTGTAACTGAGTGCACTATGTTTGCCATGTGATTATGATTGTCTCAGTATCAATACTTGTCATTGCACAAGTCACAAGTAGCCTGTGCTATTTCAGGGAGGGTGGCTGTAACAAAGGCTGGTCACAAGCTACATCTGTTCTGACTGACAATCATCATGTGACAAACACCAGTTTGGAACACTGATAGCGTCCAAGTAGAGTGCTTCCTAGTAGAGAAATGTGTCCATGGTATTTGCTGTTCAAGAACACTAGATGACAAAAAATCACTGACAAGTTTACCCTACTTAAAGCACAGATGGATAAGTGGCAATTAAAAACATAAGCTCAGTCACACACGAGGAGCTTCTTTAAAAAGAAATTTCTGTTGGGAAAGAAAGGGACATTATAGCCTGATGCGCTCATATGCAATATTTCTTGTCATAAATTTTATAATTAATTTGAATTGAAGATCCAGAAGAAGAAATTAGAAAAATGATTATTTAGCATTTGTTTAGAAACTATTCACTGACATAATCCTTGACAATTTAACTCCAAAACTCAAACTGCTTTAAAATAATTTCCTGATAGTTTCTGATTTCCATCCCTTACACTCTAGTCAGCAAGGCAGAGAGTGGGTTAACATAGGCAAGTGCAGAGCAACAATGATAGAGTTCCTCACCATATGCATCCTCATCAGGGTCCCCGGAATAGTACTCAAGTACTCGTCGATAAATAACGTAACCAAGCTGCTTGTACATGTCAACGGCAACATTATTACTCATGCGCACAAACAAGTCAACAAAAAAGGCATCTTTCCTAAAATCAATCAAAATTTTATTAAACATGAATAAAATCTTAAGGAAATGCAACAAAATTATCTACACATCAGTGTTACAGATCTTTCCCTGTTCATGTTCTGTTAGTAATGTATGAGACATACCTGATGTCATGTGACAGGTCACCAGGCCATTATAAGATCAAGAAATTCAGTTGAAACACTGATAGTGTGGTGCTGATTCTGAGTTATGGAAATTTAGTTGTGCAAAATAATGAGAGTTGGCTATTTTATGGAGAAGCTACAAAGCAATAACCAGTTTCATCACGTCTTTGAGAAGAATCGAGGCGTGAGTTGACTTTGTTATCATGATACAAACCTTGCTAGTGTCATTGTGCTAGCTAGTTCCTAATCTCTATCATCACGAAGTCAACCCAAACCTCAGACACAGAAAGGCTTGGTTACACTTCACAAAACTGTAAAATGGCTCACTTGGTATTTCTGTATGTTCAGTTTGTAAATCCCAAAGGTTGTCACAATCCCTTATGGGAGCTTTTTATTCAGCTGTCACAGGCAGGCAGGTGGGAAAATTAGAAGCAGGATTCAGTCAGGGAGCCTTGGAAATATTAACTTATTGAGCCCACACTATTATAGAGTTTCAGGTTTACCACAGACCTGTACATTTAACAGCTGTTAACTGGAAGCCATCCATCTTGAATCCTATCAGTTTTATCAGGATTCATACAAAATTAGCATCGAAAATTAACTCTTTGTGGTGTGAAATGCAAAAGAAAAACAGAAACAAATTTCTACATGGCTCCAAAGCTTGATTTTGAAGAAAGCAACAGAGATGCCTTGACCTAAACAAATTGAAATTTAGGACATTGCCAGTTTTACCTTTTTGACCACATGAAAAGGATAACAAAAGTAAATATCTGCTGATTCAACAACATAAATGTGTCAAATATCCAAAAACCTTTCCCCCAAAGAAAACCAAAAATCAATCAAAATAAGCGTGAAATGTAATTTAAGTGCTTTCCTTTATGTCCAGGAGATTTGGTCACTCCTGGATAATCTCATAGGGTTGGAATAGATGAATGAATTCATTAATTGAAACCTGCCAAATAGGCCAAGTTTGATATCATAATATTCTGAGATCAATCCCGGGCTTTCAAGACAAAATTGCAAATATTTTAAATTTCTTTTATTCCTCAATTTCCAAAAGAGACTTGGATACAAAGAAAACACTCCCAAATATAGAAGTTTGTCCTGAAAGCCTTGGAGACATGTTAGAACATTGATATATCGAACATTGCCTATTATGGACAATTTGAAAAGTGATTTCATTCTTGTAGAGATTGCAATAAACAGAAATTAGTGTACATTCAATCATTCCTGAGGGACTAAACCTTACTTTTCTGAGATCTCCTCTAAGTTAGACATTAGCTTTGCAGCAAGTCCAAGCCTTCTGTACTCAGGGGCTACTGTCACTGCTGTCACATGACCGTGCCATTCTTCCTGTTGAACACTACCCTCAGCTTTCCCCATGACTAAACATAAGCAAGACAGATCTCAACTCAACAGGGTAATATTTAACCTGCCCAGCTGGCATAACACTGGATATAATAAACATAGCATTGAAGGAGAATTAAGCCTAAATTATCCAAACTCAACACATCGTTTTACAGATTTCCTTGGTTACTGTAGCATTACTTGACTACAAGTAGGAGTTTTCTACTCTGCCCTGGATGGGATGCAAGTCCATCACAGGGCTTCCCTCCCCCCTAACCTACTAGACCCTGGGTGGAGAGTGACAGTGAAGTGAAAGAGAATCGAATACGAGTGTCTTGCCCAAGAGTACAATGCAAAATGATCCCAGTCACAGTTCAAAACAGGACCTTGATCTGGAGTGCAGCGCCAGTTGTTTAACGGATAAATCTAACACATAACAAAATGGCCAAAGACACACACAAGTCATGTGCATAACCAGATTAACAAAGTACTGCCAACCAGTACTGGGGTAACTTCTCTTTTCTCCTACTGGATAAGGGAATCACATATTAAGAACCAATGTGGAGGTGTATGATGTCACAGATTATCTCAGCACTAGTATTCTTGGTTTTCATGTGACGTAGTCATATTCCAAAATTAGAAATTATCTTTCCTTCTGAGGTTTTAGTTTTATCAGATAAAAGACCCTACAGGAACGTGACGTTTGACAATGTTTTAGCTTGAAAGAGTTCTTCTTTTTGTAATAAAACACGTTTGAATTTCCAAGCTTTTGCGCTGCATGACATGAAAATGGCAGCCTGAAAAGACTGTTGCATAGGTCAAAAGATCAGTTATCGCTTTAGTTTTTGCTAAATAAATGATGCTTGCACTAGAAGAAGCATTAAATTTTATTTCAATGTGTAGGAGCTCTAGGGTAAAAATTTTCATTTCAATAGCAAAACTCAATGACAGATGTTTTTGTTATTTTACGACAGCCATGTTTGTGCCCCTCCGAAGGGCACAAACATGGCATCTCCATACAAAGCTCTATAAATTTGGGTGACACACTTCTGCGAATAATGGGCGAATGAAAAACAGCAGAAACCTGATTCTNTTCTGACTGACAATCATCATGTGACAAACACCAGTTTGGAACACTGATAGCGTCCAAGTAGAGTGCTTCCTAGTAGAGAAATGTGTCCATGGTATTTGCTGTTCAAGAACACTAGATGACAAAAAATCACTGACAAGTTTACCCTACTTAAAGCACAGATGGATAAGTGGCAATTAAAAACATAAGCTCAGTCACACACGAGGAGCTTCTTTAAAAAGAAATTTCTGTTGGGAAAGAAAGGGACATTATAGCCTGATGCGCTCATATGCAATATTTCTTGTCATAAATTTTATAATTAATTTGAATTGAAGATCCAGAAGAAGAAATTAGAAAAATGATTATTTAGCATTTGTTTAGAAACTATTCACTGACATAATCCTTGACAATTTAACTCCAAAACTCAAACTGCTTTAAAATAATTTCCTGATAGTTTCTGATTTCCATCCCTTACACTCTAGTCAGCAAGGCAGAGAGTGGGTTAACATAGGCAAGTGCAGAGCAACAATGATAGAGTTCCTCACCATATGCATCCTCATCAGGGTCCCCGGAATAGTACTCAAGTACTCGTCGATAAATAACGTAACCAAGCTGCTTGTACATGTCAACGGCAACATTATTACTCATGCGCACAAACAAGTCAACAAAAAAGGCATCTTTCCTAAAATCAATCAAAATTTTATTAAACATGAATAAAATCTTAAGGAAATGCAACAAAATTATCTACACATCAGTGTTACAGATCTTTCCCTGTTCATGTTCTGTTAGTAATGTATGAGACATACCTGATGTCATGTGACAGGTCACCAGGCCATTATAAGATCAAGAAATTCAGTTGAAACACTGATAGTGTGGTGCTGATTCTGAGTTATGGAAATTTAGTTGTGCAAAATAATGAGAGTTGGCTATTTTATGGAGAAGCTACAAAGCAATAACCAGTTTCATCACGTCTTTGAGAAGAATCGAGGCGTGAGTTGACTTTGTTATCATGATACAAACCTTGCTAGTGTCATTGTGCTAGCTAGTTCCTAATCTCTATCATCACGAAGTCAACCCAAACCTCAGACACAGAAAGGCTTGGTTACACTTCACAAAACTGTAAAATGGCTCACTTGGTATTTCTGTATGTTCAGTTTGTAAATCCCAAAGGTTGTCACAATCCCTTATGGGAGCTTTTTATTCAGCTGTCACAGGCAGGCAGGTGGGAAAATTAGAAGCAGGATTCAGTCAGGGAGCCTTGGAAATATTAACTTATTGAGCCCACACTATTATAGAGTTTCAGGTTTACCACAGACCTGTACATTTAACAGCTGTTAACTGGAAGCCATCCATCTTGAATCCTATCAGTTTTATCAGGATTCATACAAAATTAGCATCGAAAATTAACTCTTTGTGGTGTGAAATGCAAAAGAAAAACAGAAACAAATTTCTACATGGCTCCAAAGCTTGATTTTGAAGAAAGCAACAGAGATGCCTTGACCTAAACAAATTGAAATTTAGGACATTGCCAGTTTTACCTTTTTGACCACATGAAAAGGATAACAAAAGTAAATATCTGCTGATTCAACAACATAAATGTGTCAAATATCCAAAAACCTTTCCCCCAAAGAAAACCAAAAATCAATCAAAATAAGCGTGAAATGTAATTTAAGTGCTTTCCTTTATGTCCAGGAGATTTGGTCACTCCTGGATAATCTCATAGGGTTGGAATAGATGAATGAATTCATTAATTGAAACCTGCCAAATAGGCCAAGTTTGATATCATAATATTCTGAGATCAATCCCGGGCTTTCAAGACAAAATTGCAAATATTTTAAATTTCTTTTATTCCTCAATTTCCAAATGAGACTTGGGTACAAAGAAAACACTCCCAAATATAGAAGTTTGTCCTGAAAGCCTTGGAGACATGTTAGAACATTGATATATCGAACATTGCCTATTATGGACAATTTGAAAAGTGATTTCATTCTTGTAGAGATTGCAATAAACAGAAATTAGTGTACATTCAATCATTCCTGAGGGACTAAACCTTACTTTTCTGAGATCTCCTCTAAGTTAGACATTAGCTTTGCAGCAAGTCCAAGCCTTCTGTACTCAGGGGCTACTGTCACTGCTGTCACATGACCGTGCCATTCTTCCTGTTGAACACTACCCTCAGCTTTCCCCATGACTAAACATAAGCAAGACAGATCTCAACTCAACAGGGTAATATTTAACCTGCCCAGCTGGCATAACACTGGATATAATAAACATAGCATTGAAGGAGAATTAAGCCTAAATTATCCAAACTCAACACATCGTTTTACAGATTTCCTTGGTTACTGTAGCATTACTTGACTACAAGTAGGAGTTTTCTACTCTGCCCTGGATGGGATGCAAGTCCATCACAGGGCTTCCCTCCCCCCTAACCTACTAGACCCTGGGTGGAGAGTGACAGTGAAGTGAAAGAGAATTGAATACGAGTGTCTTGCCCAAGAGTACAATGCAAAATGATCCCAGTCACAGTTCAAAACAGGACCTTGATCTGGAGTGCAGCGCCAGTTGTTTAACGGATAAATCTAACACATAACAAAATGGCCAAAGACACACACAAGTCATGTGCATAACCAGATTAACAAAGTACTGCCAACCAGTACTGGGGTAACTTCTCTTTTCTCCTACTGGATAAGGGAATCACATATTAAGAACCAATGTGGAGGTGTATGATGTCACAGATTATCTCAGCACTAGTATTCTTGGTTTTCATGTGACGTAGTCATATTCCAAAATTAGAAATTATCTTTCCTTCTGAGGTTTTAGTTTTATCAGATAAAAGACCCTACAGGAACGTGACGTTTGACAATGTTTTAGCTTGAAAGAGTTCTTCTTTTTGTAATAAAACACGTTTGAATTTCCAAGCTTTTGCGCTGCATGACATGAAAATGGCAGCCTGAAAAGACTGTTGCATAGGTCAAAAGATCAGTTATCGCTTTAGTTTTTGCTAAATAAATGATGCTTGCACTAGAAGAAGCATTAAATTTTATTTCAATGTGTAGGAGCTCTAGGGTAAAAATTTTCATTTCAATAGCAAAACTCAATGACAGATGTTTTTGTTATTTTACGACAGCCATGTTTGTGCCCCTCCGAAGGGCACAAACATGGCATCTCCATACAAAGCTCTATAAATTTGGGTGACACACTTCTGCGAATAATGGGCGAATGAAAAACAGCAGAAACCTGATTCTTGGTGAGGTTGTTTATAAAGCAATCATATCCCAGATTCCTGAATTTATTTATCGAATGGTTATGATTTTTAGTTTTGATCACATGACTGGTGAAAACCGAGAATAAGCTGTAGGGAACTCTTTAAAACATCAGCTGCAGAGGATATGCCAACTGCAACTGGCGGCTTGCAAGAAGACTGTTCAGTGCTTGCTCATGGAGTTTGACATAATGTGGAGAAACAGGTACAATTCTGAGTGACACAGTCTATTGTCTTATCCATGTCCAAGGCAAAGATCGAGGTAGCGTTTGGTGACCATCTTAAGTTGGTGACTGGAAGGGTAACTCAACTGAATGTGCAGGGCTGTTAAAGGTCTGTGCAGGACTTGCCATGCAATTCTCACGAGGGCACAAAGAGCTTGTCTTGTTTGACTACTAGTAACCCATCTTTGATGGTCATTACAACACTCAAGTATCGTTTGGCAGCCTTTATGTTGTTGAGTTTTTTGGATGGTCTTGTCCCTTGGGTCAAGTGAGCATGTGTGCAGTGGAGATCTTTACACTTAGACTGAATAGCTAACCAAGATGCACGGCAGGTGAATGGTAGTCTGGCATTACCTTGTTGAGAAAATCCTGAATCAATGCTTGTCAAACTACGGATTCTTCAGTATGAAGTGTAATTAAGGAACACACTCGGCAAGGGGGAGCATTGGGACTGGAGAAGTCAGATGGTAAAATTGCAAAGGCAGATGGCTTCCTAAGTGCCCCATCGGTAACTTATCAAAGCAGATCACATGGTCTTGCATGGGTGATGGAGCAATTAAAAGTCAAGAGAACATGCTGTGCTTCTTGGAATGTAGCTCAAAGGTCATCAGGCCAAGAAACAACTTTGTTGGACTGTCCACCAGCTACTGCATCATCAGATGGGGCCAGAAGAGCAATTGGGAATTACTCTAGCAAGGACTTTGTAGGCGCCAATAAAGGAACGCATGTGGCTTACTGTCTCTGGCTCAGGGCAGGAAGAGAGGGTGGAAATGCAATAAGGACTGGCTGTTAAGGTCCCAGAGTTCCAGATCCACCTGATTATCATGGTAGACATAGGGTTGATGATGGTATTAGATGCAGATAGGTGTAAGTTGCATTGGTAGAGGTCCTAGAGGACCTTCTCCCAGTTCTGCAGCAGCTCAAGGAGAGTGTTTCCACCGCAATAGAGGTCATCCACAATTTTTGCAACTACTCCATCCTGTTGCAGGGGGGCCAAGGATGCTACACATGAGCTCCTCAAGGATAGTCTCAGAACCAGGCATGGCCATCACCAAGTGTACATAGACGCGAACCCCTTTGAAAGGCGTTGCAACGCAGCAGTTCCTCATGAGCAAGGGATATAATTTTGGTAGAGGGCATTTGTTAAGTTGATGGCAACTATGTGTTTCCACTGTGGTATGTAGCATAGGGTGGAGTCCACATCTGCCACCAGTGATGGTTGGGGCATGTTATAGCGCCCTACGTCAGCAAATGCTGTTACCACGCAAAAACCACCACTTGATCTTTTTACCGGGAAGAACGGATTCAGGTATTCGACGGAAACTGAAACATCCTCAG